GAGCAGCATGTGGCCAGGCGACTGTGGTGCGGGGAGGGTGCACAAGGCGGACACAGAGCGCGGGGGGGATGGGGGTTGTGCGTGGCCAGATGCAGAGTGGCAGCAGCGCAGGGCGGTGGCTCTGCCCCTGCTGCCTACCCATTGTTCTTGACAGGCACTTTGCTAGTTTATGAAGAATGCCCAAGCAAAGCAGAGGAGGTGCTTATGTAGGTTAAATCAATAGCTGCAAGACCAACAGTCTATACAGCCAACTCTATGAACACATTTTCATATATTAACCTTTTAATTTTCAGCTTTGCACAAGGGTCATGCTGTCAACACGTATATGGCTTTTTCAATGCATCATTTATCTAGTTATACACTGTATTAAGCATTTGCAGCATGCTTTCTTACCTGAATAAAGTTGGAAGCCACAATGCGCAGACGGGTTGATGAATCCCCAGTCCTAGAAAGCAGATTTGGAAGGATTCTGTCCACACAGTGAGCTGTTTCCAGTTTCCCTAACTTATGCTTTGGTATGTACTGCGTAATGATCATTTTTAGAAGTTTCAGGGAAGCCTGAAAAACCTGAATTAAAAAGCATTATTTAATCAATATACAAGTTTCTAATCTCATTTTCTACCACAAAAAAATAAAAGAAAAAAGCAGGAAATCTAAAATTACCAATAAAGAAAGCACAGCCATAGAAGTGACTATGGCTGCTCCTTTTCCAGAAAAAGAGTTACATTTTAAAATGAGATGGCTACACAATGTATTCGATTCTTTTTCTAGTCTAACAAGGGAATGGAAAGCCTGTTTTTCAAGACCCTAAGTCCTAAAACCAGCCTGGAGATTCAATGTTCCACCCTCTTTTGTCCCTTCTTTGCCATATGGCAGCTTTTAAAAACATGTATACTTAAGCTTCGGTGTGCATCTCATCACTAGGAATTTCTTTTAGCCCGTTACTCAATTCTGGCTTCCATCAACATGGAAAATATTTAATTTTAACTAACTCTACATCACAATAACCCGAGTTGAAGCAGACATTCCAAATTTTCATTATTATAGACTCTGCACAAACACTTTGTTGCTGCCTTACCTACATGTTTCTGTGGTGCAAGCTTAACTGTTCCTTGTTTGTTAATACAGTACAGTCGCGTCATACACGTATTTAACTTGCACGAATTCAACCTTACGGGGGGGGGCTTCAGTTTGCGGCGGCAGGTTTTGGCAGCGTGGTGGTGGCCCGGCGGCACGCAGCCACCCCCCCTCACCACCCCGCGCTGCGCCGCTGCTGCCGGCCACAGCTCCAAGCACGGCTCCACGGCAGCAGCAGGAGGTTTTGGAGGCAGAGGCAGTTGCTAGTCAAAATCGCTGGCAATTCGACTATATGCGATTTTCACCTTACGCGCTGACCTCGGAACCAAACCCCTGCGTAAGATGCGAAATGCCTGTACTTCTATAAATGTTTTAAATGAATTAAATCACCTGACATTTAAGATTCTTGGCATTCATTCATGCTTTGCTCACAACAATAGAACATTTTCAGGCACACTACCCAAAGATAAATTCCCCTACACATTTTGAAAATCTCTTTCCATGAGAGCATTTAGGTGCTATACAAATATTAAAAAAAGAAAGTAAATTTCCTTCAGGACATGCAAAAATAGACCCCAATTCCATTCCAAAGCCATTACATTTTGAAATCTATTAAATATTTAGTTCTAAGTGTATGCAATTCCCTAAATCAGTGGTTCTCAACCATTTTTGTACCAGGACCCATTTGTAAACATCGGTGGCCAGTCCTGACCATAGCCCCCTGGCCCTGCCAGTACCCCTCACTCCCAACCCCAAGTCCCCTGCCCCCCCACAGCTGCCTCTGTCCCACTTGGGCTGCAGTGCAGTGGCTTCAGCTCATGAGAGTGGCAGCGGAGAGATTTCAGCCCTGGCACGAGCTGGAGGGAGGATAGGTCTTTGGCACTCCCTGCCCTGGGCTGGGGCTCCCATGCCATGCCAGGCAGCCTGGTCATGGCCCCTCCTGCCCCCCAAGCAACATCTCCTCAGTATCCTGCCCCTGAGAATATGGGCACCAGCCGCAGTGCTGCCAGCCCAGCCATGCAGCTCCCTACTGCCCCTAAAGGACCCCCCTCCTGCCTGCTTCCCCCTCTGGAGGGGCAGGGGCCTTCCCCCCCAACCCCTCTGCCACAAGTCTCAGCGCCTGGCCACCTTCCCCCAGTGCCAGCAGGCACGTGCACACCCACATCCCTTCCACACCCACACAAAGCCCCAGACAGTCCCCAAGCCCTGGCCCTCAAACCCCACTCCCCTAGACTTACCTGCATCTAGCTGCTGGGGCTGCTCCCACCACCCTGCCTGGCTGCATGAAGGCCACATGTGCCCACTGCCTCCAATTGCCCCAAGCAGCTCCTTGCAGGCTGGAATGCTGGCAGCCTCCAAGAGAAACCCATGCTTTCCCCATGTATTTCTGGGACTTGCTTGCAACTGTTTCAAATATTCTTTTGCAACCCATTTTTGGGTCACGGCCTACAGGTTGAGAAACGCTGCCCTAAATTATGCAGTAAATACGAACCCAAGGTTTTGTTAAACAGAGCCTAGGATTCAAAGCCATAAACAAACAAACAAACAAACCTTTCATAGCAGGGGATGATTATACATCCCCAGTGCTTACAATTATCTTCGTTAAAAGACCTCACTGAACTTAGATTATCAACTGTGGCTGCAGCGGCTTCAGCTCACGAGGGTGGCAGTGGAGCGAGTCCAGCCCCGGCACAGGCAAATGCTACCTCTTATCCTGAACCCCGCCACAACCCCACTGACTTTGACTGGCTCTGGGCTGGAGCAACATGTTTCCTGTTGAATAAACTGAGGCCTACAGATTTTATTATGAAGCAGCCTTACTTACAGAAGACACTATGTCTTTTGTGGCTCTTCTTACGAGAAAGACAGCAGCCCTGAGCATGTTCTTTAAATCCTCTTTTGGGGTGCTGACAGAGATTTCCATCAGCTTTTTATATATAGCAAGCAATGCATCTTCTCGATATGACCAAGTCTTGGAATATGCTCCTGCAACCTACAAGAAAAGAGCAAGACTGCCATGAAACAGCCGTCATCCATTCCAAAAAAAATGTAATTTGGTCTCAGATAGGAGAATACCCAATGTAAAAAGGGTATTAGAAACCCAACTGCCTCTCATTTTCAGTGGGAGTTTGGCAACTTCCTGTATTTTGTGCTTTTGAAAACCTCTCCCATAAAATAGCCTAATGGAAAAATTAGACTTTTTTTTTTTTCTTTTACTTGAACAAAGAAGATTTGCCTCAACAAATTACCCCATCATTTGATAATTATTTTTCTTCCTATGAAGCCTCCTCAATCATTGTGGTAGTTATGAAAGCCCAGTACATTTCATATTCTAAAGCACACTATTTGCAAATATCCGCTCGCACATTTACCAACAATGGAAGAAA